TCCAACTAGTGCGCAGTGGGTCTGATTCTAATCACACTTGCACTAGATTTAAACCCACATGCTCCCATTGAGTTCAGTGGCCTGATTACACGGCAGCTGAGAGGCGAATCCGGCTGAGAGAATTTAGCAGCCTCAGTTCAACAGAATGAGGCAGCCCATCGGGACATGAGTCAATGGGCAGCCAACCTGCAGGATTTATCCATCGACTCTATGGAACAACAAAACCAAAGTGTCAATCAGCTTGAAAGAGCAAATAATAATTGAATTGCCCAGAGCACAAACGCTCCAGTCAATTGATGGCAGGAAAAAACAGACCTATGAATGCTTCTAAAGCGGCCTGCATGGAGCTTTAAATGCGCCCACTGGCAGGCAGCCTGGCTGGGTTTCATCAGTCCCATTGCCACGCTGCCAAAGCCAGTCTCCCTTAGGTTGGGTAGTTTGCTTCCAGGCTAATGTGGCTTGATTCCGCGGGAGTTTCACTATTGTCTCCAATGGGAGCTAGGAGCAAGCCCTGTGACCCTTAAAGTTCCAAAACAGCTGTTCCGATGCTGTCTGTGAACCATTTCATTAACTGATTGCTGACTAGATGAACTGCTGTGGTTGCTGAATCCAGCAATATCTCTGGAAGTTCCCAGTGCAGCTGTTGGGGGTTTTTTAGACCATCTGAACAGCCATACTCGGTCAGACCAAAGGTCCGTCTAGCCCAGTGTCCTGTCTTCCAACAGTGGCCAATGCCAGGTGCCCAGAAGCAATGAACAGAACAGGGAATCATCAAGTGATCCATCTCTTGTCGCTCATTCCCAGCTTCTGACAAGAGGCTAGAGACACTATCGCTGCCCATCCTGGCTAATAGTGTTAATGAAGCTAATTACTGGTCCTGCTTTTGCTGTTATATACCTTGGATTCTGTAATTTCCACTCCCCTTCTCCAAGCAGCATCACCTCAATGTGATCTGACGTCACCGCATCCCAATCAGCTGAAGGCTGGTCACCTTCAGGAGGTTGGAGATGGCAGCCTAATGCCCAGGAAGACTTCAGAGCTTTTTAATCCTGCTCTGAAGGCACAGCCCCGTTGCAGCCTCAGCCCCTGGGTCGCAGTTTCCTTTTGCCCCATTCAGAGCAGGAGGAGAGGAACCAGCATGAGAGCAATAGGCAGGATGGAAGAGGAGGGCTAGAACCACAGGAGTGAAACAGGGCCTTGGGGGTGTGGATCTGAAGAAAAGAAGGGTGAGTTTGCAGGAAAAGTGTCATCATGATGCAAAGCTAGGGCTGACATCCCATTGTGTCTGGTACCAATACAAGCATGGTTAGATAGATCTTATGAATGTAAAGGGATTGATGGTGTTAGGATGGTCCTAGAGTAAGAGGACCTGTTCCCTGACACGTAGGCAAAACGCACACAGGGTTAGCCAAAGCCAGGGTTGTGATTTAAGATTCTTTTCCCTTGTCTATTCCTTGTCTATTCCCCAACAACACCCCACCGTACAACCCAGCACATTGAGCGGATGTTTTCAGAGAACTAGCCACAATGACTCCAAGATCTCTCTCGACTGGTAACAGCCAATTTAGTCCCCATTATATCAGACTTATACTTGTGATGATGTGAGTATGGAGGTATCTCAAGATACAGGGAGGGGCCTAGTGAAATTTGCAAGTGTCCTAACTCCCATTCATTTTCAGTGGGAGTTAGACATCTAATCCGATTTCTGAGTCTCTCTAGACACACATCTGCATCTTGAGGCCTTTGTAAATCTGATCCAAAGTAACTAGTCTCCATGCTGCACTGAGATTAAGAGAAGCTGAGAGTTCACCTGCCTTAAGACTTGTTCCCTTTAATGCCAATGGAAAGACTTCCATTGCCTGCAGTAGACATTGGATGAGGCCAATGTTCCTTCTATTTTTTTCTGTCAATGTGCTAAATAAATTTCTTTACGGGCACCAATGCATATGCAAATGTGCACCACCAACAGGAACACGCAACCTAGCAGTGGGCGCTCTGCTAATTATCTGCGCACCCTCTGAATTTCCCCTGAGTGGCTACACAAGCGCCTAGCTTACAGAGAACACTGGATGAGACGCATCATTACTGTGGTTTTGCATTGTGGCAGCCTGAATTCAAATTGTCCCTAAGCCAGTTCCCCCTCCAATACAAACAGAAGTGGGGGCTGAGTGCACAGATTTTCCGCCACCTTCTTGCTTTTGATGACCAAGCTTTTGCATGTCCATGGGCAGCAGTGCCACATTGGGCTGTGATCGTCCCCTAAGCTAACCAGAGTTGGAGAAGGGAGAATAAGGAAAGGCCAAGATAGAAGTGGTGGTGTTAATTCAATAGGAGGCACTTTTCCCTGTGAAGCAATGCCTCAGTGGGGCGTAACCCGCTGCTGCTATGCTCTGGGGAGCTCCATCACTCAGGTGAGGTGTATCCGAGACCCCGACCAGCTGCAATCATAGAAACTCGGATTCACCTCATCTGGTGCCTACTGAAGTCGTTGTGAGTCGTCTTTTCCATTGGGCTTGAGGATCAGGTCCCAAATGCCTCCTGGTTCTTGTAGCGCAAATAGGGGTATTCCGTCATAGAGCTCTACCTCTCGTTAAGAAAATAGTCAAGGAAGTATCAGATGCAGCTGAGAGGTAACCAAAGCATAACTGTCCCGTCTTTGTTTCAAGTGTACTGGGAACTTTGGAGCGGGGGGTTGAGTTTAATGTGCTTGTTTCCTATGGTGTCAAACCTTCCCCCTCTGGGATTCTGTAACTTTTGCAATAAATAGTTTGTGCTTCCCCTCCATGGAGCATGTGCCTCTCTGCAGAGTGCAAACGGTGTGTAGAAGGTGGGCACCAGCAGCAACTGCTTCTGGAGCAATCCATATACAGGTTGGATCTCCCTGATCTGGCACCGTTGGGACCTGAGTGGTCCCAGATGGGGATTTTGCCAGACCGGGGGAGATAATTTCTGTCCCTCCTGCTGCTTCCCCACTGAGTTGCTCCCTCCCCCCACACTCAGATGAGCTGCGTGCCGGTTTCTCTCCTCTTTCCCCACTCTGTAGCCCAGGTAAGCCATGCACCGTGATGCTTCCTCTCCCACCTTCCCCCCCCCCCCCCCCACACACACATTGGTCCAGGACCACAGATGTTGCCAGACCAGAGAGTGCCAGTTTATAGAGGTGCAGCCTGTATCAGAAATGAACTGAAATGGCACTTGGCAGAAAGATCAGTTCTAGGGGTGGAATAGCTGTGGCTAGCTATAGAGATAGAAAGTGGAAGTAGCGATTCTTACTGTCTGTGTTTTGCTCCTGTCCAACACGATTAACAAAGCTGTTGAAAAATCATATCTTTGGGATCTGAACGTGGCCATCGTGAAACAGGTTGAACTGAAGGAGCCTGGCCTGATGCTTGCAGCAGGCTGACAAACTATATTATGGTTTTTTGTACCATGCAATAATTGGCCTGTGGAACTCATTGCAACGAAATGTGCCAAGAACTTGGCAGGGTTCCAAAAGGATTTGGATTACTCTATGGACAATGAAAACCTCCATTTACATTAGGATCTTTTCAAAATGAGGGTGTAACCCTTGTGTTCAGAGCATGAGCTAGCTCCGAAGGCCCCCTTCCTCTGACGCAGCTGCTATTGGTCATGGTTGGTGGCAGGATGCTGACCTAGATAGGCCTCTGCTCTGACTATTCCTGGGCCTGTTTTATGAGCAGGCAAAGGGGTGGGGAGGAGGTTACATGTAATTCACAATCTGCTTTTGCTATTTTATCCCAGTGCAAACAGTCCCACTGGGTGAGGAGTGGGTCTCTTGGCGGATACTTTGCATGTTTGCAGAAGCCAGGGGAGTGTTTTGCTCTGACTCGGGATGCTGAGATTTGCATTTTCTATTTTCACTTCATTTCCGTGTTCTTTGCAAAGGCAGCCTGGCAAAAAATACACTAGTGCCAATTTGGAGGATTGTTCCTTGCATTGTGCCAGCAAGTCCCCTTGAAGTTTGATCTAAATGTGGTTTCTGCCGGCTTCAGTACAGAAACAAGCAGTGGTAGATACAGGTATAAATAAGGAATAGCACATCGTCTTACCTGTACATTGAAGGGTCCTGAGGAGGGGATAAATGTTAAGAGGAGAGCATGTCACCAGACTCCTTCGATAGGATTCCAGCATTGCTTTAAATCAGTTACAAGCAGGGGGCTGGAACAATTTTTATAGTGAGGATGCTGAGAGCCATTTAACAAACTGTAAACTTTGTGTATGTAATGGAAATGACTTCAAGCCAGGGGGTGCGGTCGCACCACCGGCTCCAGCCCCTATGGTGATAGGAAGAAAATTTGTTTTCTCTCTTGTTCTATTTCATCCCTTTTCCTCCATTTCAGGTCTGGCCTATTCTTGATCTGTTTTCTCCTGTATCTTTCCCCTCCTAGGTCCCTCACCCTCCTTCCACATAGCCTCAAGGTGAAAACAAGGACATGCAAAAATTGCCCCACCCAAGGTCTCATTGGTAATTTTCCAAGAACGGGAGCTAACTTGGAGATAGAGCCAATTGGAACCACTCTCCACTGTCATGTAAAAGGCAACATACAGAAATAACAGGCCCCAGCATGAAATATTCTTTAGTGCTTTGAGATGGATCCAAGAGTCCCTATGGGTCTCATCTCATATCGTCTCACGAGAACGTCATAGGCTCACCCCGATGGAAACGGTGATTTCATTCACTGCAACTTCTACAAAGAAAACCCAAAGCTGCAGAGCGGTTTGGATTTATTACATTTAATAGGCAAGGAAACAAACAGGCCCCAGCATGAAATATTCTTTAGTGCTTTGAGATGGATCCAAGAGTCCCTATGGGTCTCATCTCATATCGTCTCACGAGAACGTCATAGGCTCACCCCGATGGAAACGGTGATTTCATTCACTGCAACTTCTACAAAGAAAACCCAAAGCTGCAGAGCGGTTTGGATTTATTACATTTAATAGGCAAGGAAACAAACAGGACCCTAGCCTTAGGTACACACCTGATGTGCTGCTTAACAAGCTCGGGCACTAGAAACGGAGCAACACATATACCAAGAGGCATCCAGGAGGATGGAAGACGGAAGCCAGGGGTGAAAGCAACTGAACATTTCTTCCAGGTCCTGTGCTATTGCAATGCGGGTCCCTGCCAGTTCTTTCAATAGCTCCCTGCTGGCTTTTGCTGGAGCTCAGGCAGCTCTTGCTGGAGCTGTGCATCAGGGCGCCCCCGCTTCCTTTCATCTCTGACTGAAGCAAACACCAGAATTTACACTAGTGACTGAGACTGGACACAGTGATCCTTGACACAGCCCTGAATATGATTCTACCTGGGATCTTACCCTAGCAGCCAGCAGAGGCACTGCATTGGTGTCTCTCTCCCCCATCCGTGCTGCCGGTGGGGCGTGTTTGGAGAGCGGGAATGAAGGCTCTGTGTATATGTACTTGGCAATGCCCGGGCCCTAACAATTAATCCCCCTAACTTGGAGTTGGAATCTGAAGCTCAGCCACTGGAAACTTGAGGGGAGCTGAGCACCTTCCATGAGGACAAGTCCTCTCCTTCCCTACCCTCTGCTACCCCTTCTTACTGTGGGCCCTCCTGCCTTTCCACACGCTGGGCAGGACCGGAAATGGATGTCCAGAAATAGCACCCGAGAAGCAGGTCAGCTTTTCCTCCTGCACTGTCCAAGAGTGGGGAATCTTGGAAGTCTCTTGAGGGTCTGGTGAGGTGCAGCTCCAATTGGAACAGCTGCTGCAGAGAAACATCCGGATTTGAGGGTGCTGAATGGAGCCTGTCGTGGCGCTGGCTTTGAGGATGACTGACTTGAGCAATGAATCTCTCTGCTTATTGTGGGTCTGAGAAGAGATCAGGGACCCACTGCTCTTGCCACTGGGGACATTTTCGTTTGAACATCAGAACCCTGCGATTTTCTCTTTTGAGCTGGAAAGGTTCTGGTCTTCCATCCACCGGATGGGGTGCGGGGGGGTGTTTTATAGAGCGATTTGTGCCTTCTGACTGCCGCGCCTGCATTCACTGCAAACCAAACCGCCCTCGCTAATATTGAAAGTCCTCCCAGATTCTCTCTCACAGCCGCCTAGCACAGGTCCGGCTAGCGAGAATCCTTCTCCTGAGGCTCCTCTTTGGCATAACTCTGGAAATAGGCCACCGTGTTCCATTCGGGCTTGAACAAGAGGATGTAACATTTAGGGAGGTAGTAGGAGGCCAGGATCCCCAGCGCGCACAGCAGCACGCCGAAGATCTGCGCGGCGGGCTGCTGCACGGGCCGCACCATGCTGTAGGTGGTGGTGAAGGCGATCCAGGTGATGAAGTAGGACAGCATGGTGAACGTTATCCCCCGGGCAATGTTGTACTTCTTGGCAGGGGTCTGCACCATGAAAGTGCAGAGGAAACAGACGAAGGCCAGGCTGCCGTTGTAGCTGTGGATCACAATGAAGCCGAACCAGGACTGGATGGTGCACTGGATCAGCACCTGGGAGTCCAGCTGCTTGTAATTGCTCCGCGGGAGGGATGGAATCGAGTACATGTACCAAAAGCAGAGCATGCTTTCCATCAGGCAGATGACAGCCATAACCAGCCAGGCCCCCTTCTGGGCCAGCCAGAGCAGGGGGCTTTGGGGGCCACTTTTGAACTCCGTCAGCAAGAGGATTTCCAGCGACTTGACGAAGAAGGTGGAGAAGCAAGCGCAGAGGCACAGGGCGTAGATGGGCTGGTGGACCATGCATTTGGCAGCGGTGGGCTTGCCGATATGGAGGCACAAGCTGAGGCACATCACCAGGAGGCAGAGCAGGGCAAAGATGCTCCGGGTGCCCCCGGACGCCTGCACCAGGGGCGTGTTGAGGTTCTTAAGGAAGAGCCCAGTGGACAGGCAGGTCAGCACAATGGCGAGGAACATCATGATCAGCAAGCCGATGACGAGCGGCTCGTCCCAGAAGAGGTACCTCTCGCTGCGGTCGTAACACTGGGTGCTTCGAACAGGCGCCCACTGATGCTCTGGGCACGCAGTGCAAAACAAGGCCTCTGAAAAGCAGCAATGAGAAGGGGGCGTGAGCAGTGTTCCCTCTATTCAGTTCCATCCGTGTGTGGAATAATTTTTTCTACATGCACCAAGACGTGTATGAACGTGCACCACCAATAGAAACAGAAACTTAGCTGTGAGCCCGCTGCTAATCAGCTGGGTGGCGCTGGAACACTGGACATGAGGCTGGGCACAGCTTCACACGCCACCTGGTCTGCAAGGACGCTGCTGCAGGCAGCATGACGGCAGATCGCCAGCCTGGGCCAATGCAGCAGCCAGTTCGGATCCAACAATCTCCAGGTTCATCGTGCCAGCTCAGAAATATGCAAGTGTATTCAGGGTCTCCACAGCCTGTGACTAGTCTCTCCTTTCCTCTCCTCTCCCCAGTGCCAAAGCCCAGGTGGAGATGGGACGCCCCAAACTCCCCACCCCCACCTCACTAACGCCAGTACCCACTCAGCCTCTGTTTCCCTCACCTACCCCATGCAGGCTGCTCCCAGCCCAGCCCAGGGGAGGAGGAGAGACCTGGGTTTCTCACAACAGCCAGCCGCTGTAATCTGAGTAGTCCCTCTCCTCTCCCCACTGCCTCAGCCCAGTGGGGAGACGGGATGCCCCAAACTCCCCTCCTCAGCACCACCCCCTCCTTGTGTCCCCTCCCTATTGGCTGGGAGAGACTCACTGCTCTGTCCTTAGCAGGGAGCTGCTGCTGTCGCTGAGGGAGACGTGCCCCTCCCCCTACCAGGCAACTCCATGCATGGAACTCTGAGCCCCTAGGTGGGGCTCATTAAGCAGCTGCACAGCCACGCTACTGCACAGCTTAGAGGGAAGCTTGGTGACTCCCCAGGCTCCTTCCCCCTCTACTCCCAAACGAGCAAGCCCCATATTTTCTGCTTCTGCTCCCTTTCCCAGGCAGGGCCCCTGCTTCCAAAAAACCCTTGAATTTTGCCACCAGAATCATTGTTACCTTCTTGCAAAACCAAACAATTTCCCAACCAGTCACATGGGCTCACTCCCGCTGCTTTGTTCCTAAGTGGGCTGTCAGCTCAGCCCTTCAGAAGGATGCTGGGCAGAGCACCGGAGAATATATTACAGGGGACGATTCTGCTCTGGCCAGTAATGGGAGCAGACCCTCAGGCGACCGAGCTGAGTGAAAGATTCTCACCCACCCCACCCCCACCTCTCCATGCCACTCAAGCTGTGATTGCAAAGGTGTCATAAGGCACTGGGGAGAATTACCCCCCTAGGACTGGCGGAATTATAAGTGGGGATGGTCTATTGGCAGTGTGGAGTACACGAGGAGCAGGCCAAGACGCAGGAGGGTGATGTGTGTGCAACCCGGGCCACTGCAGAAATCTGGAGATGTGATTTAGCCTTTGGAGACTGCTGTACATTGGAGCATCCCTGGGGCTGCTCTCATGTGTGGTGGGGGCAGCACTGGCCCAGAATCAGGTTGGGCAAAGATGGCTTCCAGCCAGCGTTCTCCTTTCTCCCCATGGGTTGCATCTTCTACACCAGGCCTCTCAGAAGAGCCCCGCGGAGTTGGACACCCATTTACCTTAATGGTGCCGGGAAGCTCTAAAATCAATAGCCAGCTGGGACAGGGGTTAGCGGGCGCTGCCTTTCCCAAGCCTCACCTTTGGCACTCTGGTAAGTGTTTTCTTCACAGTCGATACAGTCGTAACAGCAGAGGTGGAATCCTTTCACTCTTTTAATCTGCCCTGGTTCGCAGCGCTGAAAGCACGTGGACACAGGCTTCTGGAAGAAGAACAATGCCACAGACAGTCAGCAGGTTAACACTCTGGCTGAGTAAGACCATCACTGCCCCTAATTAGATAGGACCAGAGCTGTGTGTCTGAGGCCCTATACTGCTAATGAGGACTCTCCTTTAGCTCACATCACATGGGGTGTTAGGGAACAGGAAGGTCCCGAGTAGGCACAGCAAGCGAGCTGTGTAATAGGCAGAGGAGTAGCAAGGGTGTTATAGAGTAGCAGGAGTAGCAGGCAAGCAGAGGGATGACAAGGGGAGCGGCGGGGGACTATATTGATGCCTCCCTAGCGTGGCACCCGGGAGCAACTGCCCCCCCCCCAACCTCCTCGCTACACCACTGGTAATAGGTGAAGCTTTGTTCCCATGTTGTTGTGACTAGCAGCACCTTTGCCCTCACTCTTTACCTTGTTATCCATGTTGTGAAACCGAATCTGGGACGTGTTGATGCTTAAGGACGTCTGGTACTCTCCGACAGCCACATACTGGAGTCTGCCTTTCACCCAGCTCCAGAACATGATGTCGTAGCCCTGGTTCACACTATGGAACGGGTCCATCGTAAAGGTTTGGTTATCCAGGGTGAACTGGAGCGATTCCATTATGTCCACCAGCTGCAGAGAAGAGGGGAGAATGCCCGGCCGGCAGTGGGTTGTGGGAGGCTGGTGTCTGGGAGACTTCACCAAACGCTCCCAGATGCGAGGTACATCTGGACGGCTGTTGCTAGCTGTGATTGCGGCCTGTACCCAAGCTAGCTTCATCTAGCTAGGTCAGTAAAGCTGGGGGCAGCAAGAGTTTCGGGTTTTGGGGTGGGTTTGTACATGCTTAAGTTGGTTGCTGTGGGACCCAGGCAAAGTGGATGCAAGCCGACTCGAGTATGTCTGCTCAAGCTATAACCACACCCCCGGCCTGCAATGTTTTGGGTATGTCTATGCTGCAGTGAGAGCCTTGGGTTCAAGTTCAGGTTCGAGGCCTTCCCCTTTTGGTCTATACACAAATCACACTAACCCAGGGCTTGGCACCAAAGTCCCAGGAGCTGGGACTGAGGGTACATCTAAACTACATGCCTCTGTCGTCAGAGGCATGTAGATTTGTTGTTTTGGCAAAGGCAAATGAAGCCGCGATTTAAATGATCGCGGCTTCATTTAAATTTACATGGCTGCCGCGCTGAGCCGACAAACAGCTGATCAGCTGTTTGTCGGCTCACAAATGAAGCGGCGATTTAAATCGTTATTCCTCGTGGGATGAGGTTTGCCGGGGCTGCCGACAAAGGGCTTTGATGTCGGCAGGGGACCATCCAGACTAGCGCGCTGAGCGGACAAATAGCTGATCAGCTGTTTGTCGGCTCAGCGCGGCAGCCATGTAAATGTAAATGAAGCCGCGATCATTTAAATCGTGGCGTCATTTGCCTTTGCCTATGTGTCTAATCTACATGCCTCTGACGACAGAGGCATGTAGTCTAGACACAGCCCTAGTGATCAAGCCCTATTGCTTTGTAATGTAGACACAGTGGCCTTCAGAACACCTGGTTCTTGCTGGTCCCTCTTTGTTCTACTGTGCCCCAGTCACTGCTGGATGCACCATCCATGGGGAGTAGCGCATCCCACCGCTCCCACCAGTGGCTGCCAAAAGTATTACACTATCATGGGCTGACTTTTTGTCCTCAGTACGGTCAAGTATGGTGGGCAGTCATGTTTGCCCATGACTAGAGCAAAGAGCTAGAGTGGCCACCTTACGGGAGGGCGCTAGGAAATCCGGGATGTGCCTGGTTGGCCTCAGGCATACATAATGCAGTGTAAATGTGGAACCCTAGGTTCAACCATTCCTGATCTTGAGTGAATGTAGACACTCAAGCCCTAGGTTAACAAACTCGGGGGTTGCTGACCCCAGTACTACTAACCCTGAGGTTACGTCGCAGTGGAGAGGGACCCCCTCCAAGTATGGTGGCAGGCTGGGTACGGGTGCCTCATTTTCTGATTGAAACCTCTGGTCACCTGGGCAGGCTAAGATAGCAGCCTTTAGCTCTCAGGCTCCTGGACGTCAGCTGGGTTCAGGAAGGAATTTCCCTCTTTTAAAGCATTGACCAGCATTATCCTTAGTGTGGAACTGACTCTGACCTGTCGCATGTCTAACAGCCCTTTATTGCAGGGTGGGGCTGTATTCAAGTTGCAGTGGGGGAGGTCTAGGTTGGATATTAGGAAAAACTATTTCCCTAGAAGGGTGGGGAAGCACTGGGATGGGTTCCCTAGGAGGGGGTGGAATCTCCATCCCTGGAGATTTTTAAGTCCCAGCTTGACAAAGCCCTGGCTGGGTTGATTTCATTGGGGTTGGTCCTGCTTTGGGCAGGGGACTGGACTCGACTCCTGAGGTCTCTTCCAGCCCTAGGATTCTCTGATTTTCTGATGAGCAAACACCAGGTCCGTACATAGCAGGGTTCACATATAGATCGCAGAGCATCGCTCTCCCACTTTTACAGCTGCAGAAACAGGGGCACAGAGGGCAGGGAACTTGCTTGGAAGCCCCCCAGTAAGCCAGTGGCAGAGTTAGAATAGAATCCAAGTTTCCAGACTCTCAGACCCCTGGACCACATCTTGGGCCACTGCCAGAGGCAGGAAATTGGGGCTGACAGGCCAATGGCATGAGGCTCCATTATGGGAAACCCTGGGCCTGATGAAAAGCTCATATTGGGAGGCAGCTAGCGGGCTCCACCTTAGCACTGGAAAGGGGCCGATGGGAGGAAACCGGCAGCGGGACAGGGGTGTAGGAGTGAAAAGCTGCTGCTGTGATCCCCGCCCTCACGTACCTGCCAGGATTTGACTGGAGTTTTCGAGCATCCTTGGGCCGTGCACTCCAGCGCCTGGTGCAGCGCGTGGGCCATGCTGTACACGGCGACGTACACCGCGTAGATCTGCTGGTCCTCCAGCAGGTGCGAGATGTCCTGCAGGGAGATGTCGTTGCAATGCCCGCACTGTAGGCCGAGCACAGCCGAGTCGGCGTCGTGGCTGTGCTCCCGGGAAGCCTGGCAGAAACTCTCCTGCTGGATGGACGCGAAGAGGTCGGTGACGTAGTCCTGAAAGCCACGGACGATGCCTCCCTTGATGGTAAAGCCGATGACTGTCCCGATGGTGTGGATGTTGGGGATGGAGGTGACCATGTCGGACATCACCCAAGCTTCAGTGGCCACCCAGACCTTCTGGCTCAAACCGTGATGGATCCACTGCTTCAGCAGGGCCTGCACCGGCCTGTCCACGGAGAAGAGGACAATCACATTCACCTGGGTCTCGTTGATGTACCTGATGATTTTCTCCAATTTCTTTTGATCTTGTGGGAGTGACGGGTCAGCGGGAATCAGAGCCTCATAGGCCACACAGATGCCCTGGGCTGTGGCCAAAGTGGAGAAACTACCCAGCCCTTCCCGGCCGTATTCGTTTTCACTCCCGAGGGCAGCGATCCAGTTCCAGCCGAACGCGTCGAGCAGCTGCACCAGGCCTTCCGACTGGTTCCTGTCACTGGGAACTGTCCGGAAAAAGGACGGGTAATACTCCTCTGAGCTGAGTCTCTCGCTGCTGGCTCCGTAGCTGACCTTGAAAGGGGGGAAAGACCCGTGTGACTGGATACGTCTGCACTGGACTGGCTGTTAGTGGCAGCTGTGTCGGTCCCAGGGAATTAGAGAAGGTGGGGGAGACAGGATCTTTTACAAGATCATCTTCATGGGTGGTGGGTGAAGGCAAGCCCTCGCCCAACCCACCCCCAGCCTGATCCTTCCTGGCCACCTGGAGGGCCAGGGCTGCCATGCTGAAGCATGGCCACCTGGCACGGGGATGGGGCTCCGGTGCTTGATACCGTGCGGCTTCCCCCTCCAGCCCCCTCACCAGCATGTGCCTCCTCTGCTATGTGCAGGACAAGCTGGAGGTGTCCCCATCTGGCGCTGCAGGTGAGGTTGGGGTGAGGCCTCTATGCACGGCCGCTGGACCCCTCCCACCCGCAGCTTTGCATTAGACACCCCCCCCCTCCGCTGGGGCTGCATTGAATTGTTGGGGGGGGCGGAGGTTCCCCATCCCCAGAGCAGATTTGGTTTTCATTCTGATGTCTGCAGTCCCCCCCGGTGACTCCCTGGTCTATAAACTGCCCCCTCTGGTCATCTCCTCGCTTGCTCTGCATTGGCATCCGGCCCCCTGTTTAACAGGGATTTATGAACAAGAAACTGATCTGCCCTGTAGCGGTCCGGGGGAGGGGCTGCTGAGCCCCCTGGACTCATAGACTCGTAGACTTTAAGGTCAGAAGGGACCATTATGATCATCTAGTCTGACCCCCTGCACAGTGCAGGCCACAGAATCTCACCCACCCCTCCTAGAATAATCCTCTCGCCTATATCTCAGATATTGAAGCCTTGAAATACTTTGAAGACCCCAAGATGCAGAGAATCCTCCAGCTGTGATCTGTGCCCCATGCTACAGAGGAAGGCGAAAAACCTCCAGGGCCTCTGCCAGTCTACCCTGGAGGAAAATTCCTTCCCGACCCCAAATATGGCAATCAGCTAAACCCTGAGCATGTGGGCAAGACTCACCAGCCAGAAAGTTCTCTGATACTGATAAGAATCTAGGGTGCTCAGCACCTCCCAGGCTGTGCCCAAATGCTACCCAGAGAGCAGCATTTAGAGCAGGGCTACTCAACTTTGGAAGTTCCGGGGGCCACAATGATACTCACAGCACGTGCCGAGGGCTGCAACTGAAGTGTGGTTGCATAGACATGCAAATATATGCAAATAGCTTCTTTCACACTGATGGGCATGAATACAAAGATTAAGGCAAGACTGCACAGCATGCAGGCCCCATTGAAGTCAGTTCTGCTGATGTTAATCAAATGCAATAGTTACCTGCTTTCCACTCGTGTGACAGCACTTCTAGGAATGTAACTGCTAAAACGCCTATCAACAGAAGACCATTGTATTGACTCCTTTTTGTTTTGGCTCCCACATGTTAAGCCCCACGTAAATCCAAACCACACCACGGGCTGCAAACAAACGGGCCAAGCGTTGAGTAGCCCTGATTTAGACTTATTAGAGCCACAGCAGCAACTCACACAGCAAGGGGGCTTCATTCTCCAGAGCTCTCTGCCGGCTCCTGCCTGGGAGCTTGCGTGGCCTCAAGAAAACCCAACCGGTCCGTAGGCCTCCCTCAGCGCAGTGTCTGAGCCCCGCACGGTCAGTGTAGTTATCCCCTCCCCCTGCCGGGGAAGCAAATAAATGAGGGGCACAGAGGCTAAGGTGGGTGGGTGTGTGTATCAGGGAGTGAATCCAGATCTCCCAAGGCCCAGGCGAAAGGTCTAACCCAGTGGTGGGCGACCTACAGCCTGAGGGCTGCATACGGCCCTTTGGGGTACTACCTGTGGCCCTTGAGACATTTTGTTTACCATTGTCCATGCGCAGGGCTGCCAGATTCTGCTGGTTTTTGTCCACGTAGTTTTTTCCCTGCTGGTGTTAATGAAGTGACGTGTGAGGAAGTGGGGAGTTTTGGGGGCTGAAAGGGGGTTTCATGCAGAGGGGGGCACTCAGTACCCGGGATGTTACTGGTTTCATGTGACCAGGGGAGAGGGAGTTTGTTGTTGCAGAGAACAGCACAGAACCAGCGCCCTGATATCTGGTGCCCTGGTGACCGGCTGACCCCGCCCAGAGGACACAAGGGTTCCCGCCACATGACAGACGATGGGCTGCTGAGGGGAGACCTCGACCCAGCTGGTTCCAGCAAGGCGAGAACAATGGATGGAGAAGGGAGGGGTCCAGGCGACCCTGACTACCTGGAGAGAAGACACTGGACAAGGGAGGGGCTGTCGCTGAGGGATGTTGGAGGCTCTGCTGGAAGACCTTTTTCTGATCGGGACAGGGAGCAGAGCAGGCAGGGCTCACCTGGCTGCAGGGGAGACTCAGACGTGCGGGGCTGAGGGAGGCCAGGCCCACCGGCCTGAGGGATCCTTTGCTGCGTTCAAAGCTCAATAAACCCTCCTGTTTGGTGCTGGCTGAGAGTCGCTCTGGGCTGAGAACAGGGCTGCACTATTCCCTCTGGGAGTGGAGGCCCCGGGGCTCCAGAGGGAGTGGACCCCGCGAGGGGGCTCACGGCGGAGGCAGGCGGGCGGAAGGCCCTGAGAGGCACCGTCTCGGAGGCAGAGAGGCAGACCCCCCCAGGTGTGAGTGGGCCCCCCAAGAGAGGGTCGCCGCACTGGAGTGGACTCCCTGCGAAAGGGCCATCCCACTGCCGCTGTGCCAGAGTGGGCTTCCCGAGAAGGGGCTGCCGCACTGAGAGGGGGGTTCCACCCGGGGACCGAGGGGCTGAGTGTGAGCACAACCCATGAGCCGTGAGAACACGCACGTAAAGCAAAGGCACGGGAAGTGAGGTGGGTCCCTCTGCTGCTACCGTTCCATCGCAAATTCTAGGCCCGCAAGTGCAGTGAGCAGAACTGCCCTGCCCTGGAGACCGTCTCGGTTCCGACAATCTTGCAAGCCCACTGAGATGGAGGCGAGCCACCGATGTGGCCT